ACATATATATTTAGTTTTAGCAAATACTGTAAAACATTTTTCAAAAGTAATGTTTTCAGTACCAATAAAGTATGAGAGTTCCAGTTGCTCCATATCCTTGTCAACATTTGATGTTGTCATTTCAGTTCTAACCACTTTATTGAGTGTATGGTGATATCATTTTGTAATTCTGATTTGTATTTTTCTGGTGATTAACAAAATTATTTACATCTTCACATGTTTATTCACCATTTGGACACATTCTTGTGGAGTACTTGTTCAAGTCTTATGTCATTTTTGTTATTGGGGCATTAATATGTTTGCTTTCTTGGTTTGTAGAAATATTTTTTTATATTCTGGGTATAGGTCCTTTTAATATAATATATTACAAATATTTCCTCTTGATCTGTGTTTTGTATTTTAATTTCTATTATGGTATCTTTGATCAAAAACTTCTTTAATTTAGTTTGAATTTTACATAGTTATCACTTTTGGCTTGCATTTTTCTGTTCTGTTTAAATCTTCATATACACAAAGGTATATTTTGAAATATTAATTACTATACTTTTCCCATCTAAAGCTATAATCAAACTATTTTTTTCAAATGAATCTGGTTAGTCTCAAAAGTTTTACATATGCCTTTATACCATCTATTGAAAAGATAATCCATTCCCCATTGTTTCAGAAGCCTCATTACTGTCATAAGTCAGGTGATTTTAGGTCTTCTCAAGTATTTAATTTTTCTGTTTATCCTGCAATACCATACTGCAGTAGTTAATATATCTCTGTCATGAGTTTTGTTATTAAAAATTAAGGCTTCCACTTTTAAAACATTATTTTTTAAAAAAATTAGAGTCACATAAAATATGATCATAGGGTACAGAGATATACCATGTTGGCAGAAAATTGTTCACAAGATCTATTTTTTATTTTTAAAATGCCTGTAGGATTGATAGTGATGTTTCTTTTTTTTACTCCTAACAATGGTAATTGGTATTTTTGTTGGTTTACTTGATTAATCTAAAGAGTTTTAATTTTGCTAATAATTATGAAGGACATACTTTCAGGTTTACCAATTTGCTCTGTTTAATCTTTGTTGTCTATTTTATTCATTTCTGGTTATGTATTTTCTATGTGTAATTACCTGCATTAATCATTTATGAGTTGCTTTTCTTTTTCTAGCTTCTTGAGATCAAATATTCCATTACTGATTTTTAATCTTTCTTTTCTAATATGTGCATTTAAGGCTTTACATTTCCAAGTTGTGTTTTGATATGTCAGTTCTTGATATTTTCAAACTATTCGGAAATTTCTGTTGTGATTTATTCTTTGACTCATGGGTTTTGTCATTTAATTTTGAAACATTTGGGGATGTCCTGTCATATTTTAATCTCTGCATTATTCTGCTGCAGTCAAAATGCATGCTGAATAATTTTAATTCCTTTTATTAAAAATGAGGCTTGTTTTATGATCTTGAATATTGACAGTTTAATAATTATATGAAAGAAAAAAGAGTGTTTTAGTGTGTTATATATGTCAGTGTATTTGAATATGATGTATGTGTTGTTCAGCACTTCCACGTTCATGTTTGTGTGTGTTTGGTCTCCTTATTCTGTTAGGAATGGACAGGGTTATGTGAAGTCTCCCAATATGATTGTGGTTTGTCTATTTTGTATTTGTATTCTGCCATCTTCACTTTTTATATTTTAGTAGTTAGCCTATAAATAAATATTCAGTCTTTAACTCCACATATTTCTAGTTTTTTTATTCTTATGAAACAGCTGTCTTTATCAATAACAATGAATCTATCCTTAAAAATCTCCTTGATTTTATGTGAATATAGTACATTAAATTTATTTTGGCTATTGTACTAAACACATCATCCCAGTTTTAATTTCAATCTTTGCTTTCTCTCTTTGTCTCTCACATACATATATTTGACAGCATATATTTTAGTTTTTTTAAATGTAGTAAGAATATTTTTATTGTTAAGTTGAATTACTTAACACAATTATAATTAATGTATTATCTAATATTTCAATCCACACTTAAATCTAATTATTTTTCCATTTGCGTTAAAGATTTTGTTCTTTTATTTATTTTTTAAAAATATTATTTTTTTTAGATGTAGATGGACACAATACAATGCCTTTATTTTTATGTGGTGCTGAGGATGGAACCCTAAGTCCCACTGGTACTAGGCAAGCGCTCTACCACTGAGTCACAATCCCAGCACCCTTCTTTTAGATTACTCTTTCTTATCCTAGGATTACAAAATTAATGTTTGAGTTTTTCATTATATCCCACATTATATCCCACTAACTTTCTTTTCTATATTTTCAATTTTATTTCTATATTTTATATTGGCCTAACTGCATGCATGATACTGTACTCCTTAATGTCAATGACATTAAACCATTTAGTTTTAAATCAGGCATTATATTTTTATTTACAGATTTAATGTCCATTTTAAAATTTGAATAGTTGGGTGAAATTTTCTTTGTATCTATTTTCATTAACCATACTTATTTTAGTGTGTTTATCAATTAATTATAATATCTGGACCATCCCTGCATTTTTGGAGGGTTATGTTTTTACTCTATTTTATGTGTACCATCCAGTTGTGTGTTTGTGTGTCTCAATGGGTACATAAACATGCATATGTTCCTACTAATTTTTTTTTACTGAACTTTGAGTATTTATGTAAAATATTGTCCAGAATCAAAATTATATTTATTTCCTTCAGAAGACCTCACTTTTTCTTCTGGTAGCTTGACAAAGCCCTATCTAAACAAACTATCTTAATCAAAACAGGCACTGGGCTCAATCAAGATTCTTTGAAGTCTTGATAAACATCTAGCCCTATAGAACTTTCAGTTGAGAATTTAGTATATCCTCTATGGTCCCTTCTTATGGAAATCTCAAACTCTAATCTTTGTATTTCAAGAAAAAAACTTACTCTGCTTTTCAAGAAATTTCCACTTAAGTTTTTAGTATTCTCTGAGATGCTCTGAGTTTGACCAGTGCCCTGAGGGGGGAACTGGTCCTGAGCTTGAATCCTATAGTCTTCCAAAGGCTACTGAAGTTATTCTGTTCCTAACAAAAGGTTGTGGTTTGTTTTCATAATTACCCAATTTCTTTGGGAAAAAATGACTGTAGGATTTAGTTCTCCTCCACAAGAATGTTCCTTCTCAAAAATCTTAGCCCATTCAGGTCTTATTAAATCACCTGTTTTCTATTGCTATTTTACTTATAACCAGTTTTAATGGATGTTTTATGCTTCCTGATAATACATCTAACTTGGAAACAGAATCCCAGTAAATGTATGCATGTTTTAACCTCATACTTTAAAAGTTTTTTTGTTTTTTTTTTACTTTTTATCATAAGAGGGAATCTTAAAATGATACGGGGTAACATTAACTTCAGTAGAAATTCTTACCTCATAATAACACTTGTCAAACTCACTAAAGACAAAAGCCTAACAAGTACAGCAAAGGAATTATAAAATATGCTTTCGTAGTAGAAGCATTTGAAAAAAAAACCATATTGAAATGGGTGTAATTATCAAGATATTCACCTCCATTCTCTATCTTGGTTCAATAACAGTAAAATTGATATATTTTCATATGGTACATGTTGTGAATATGATTTGGATCATGTTCACTACTAAATCCTAGCGACTGAATTTCAAAATGTTGATCTTTTCTACATTCTGGTGGTACCCAAATGATCCAAACTTTGTGAATATAGGCAGGAACGAAGTGAGTTCTGGATGATCATTTGTCCAGTCTCCTTGGTGGGATTATACAAATTAGACTTCTGAAAAGTGAACTGGAATTTTTTGTGAACTTGAAACTTCAACCAGACTTATTTTTTTTGTCACACATAAAAGGTATTCTTTTAAATAGATGATAATAAATAAAGGAGAAATCATTAAATTTAACCACCACATTTATGTCTTGTATTAAAGTTCATGTTTAATTCTGTTCTCATTTTATCTCTGCCTCACTTCAATTTTTCAATTGAATGATGGCTAAAAACTTTGTTTCAAAAATGACTTAAATGTCAATAATTTCCCTTTTTTATTATATCATCAGAAAAAAATAGTAATTCAGTAAAAGCACAGGTACTTAATCTCCACTAAGATAATACTTGAGACTTAAAAATATCAGATTATAAAATAAACCTTTAAACTTCTTGTATTATGCCAGAAGTTCAAGGAAGTTGTCTTCTATTAATATAAATTTAACTAGTTAGGAATCACAGGATCAACTCACTAGGGTTATTGAACACAATTGAGAACTATTATAATTCAAACGAATTCATTACTGTTAAAGCTACTCAGGACAAAATACTTCATACAAATGCAACTTTGATGTCATTGAAAAAATTAAATAACATTAAAGAACAAAACTGAAGAATTAAACATCAAAAGAAGTCATTATGATGTTGGTAAAAACTGTTCACATCTACAAAGTGCAAAATCTTTGATCAGCCAGTAAGGACTAAACAAAATTGCCAAAATGCAGAAGATGTTTCTGGATTATTGAAAAGGGGGCAGAAGCTGCAGATAAACCAAAGGAGATGTGTATATATATATATATATATATATATATATATATATATATATATACAGTAAATTACACTTGATCATCTACTGTAGAGCAAAAGGACAAGGAGATATATGAGGACCTCAAGAGTTCTGAATTTATTGGAGGTATTTAGGATATAATTCAGGCTCTGAGATTATTCTTTGAATATGATTATGTGAAGCAGTGATTTAACAGTTTTACTTAGTAAAGGAGGATGACAAATTATATGATAGTCTCCCTTTAGTTTATCTTAAATGAGATTTTTTTAAAAAAATTAAATCTTCGTATTTATGAAACACTTAAACGATATTTTAGGTAAGTCCTAACCAAGTAAAATATCATTGTCTTGCATATGAGATGTTCACAACAAGAAAAAGGCCACACTTTTGTATATGAATACATTCATTAAATGAAAAGTTAACATACAGCTTGAGAAAAACAAGTAGACTAGATTTTATGCTCTTGGCTGATCAGTGGATTTAACCTAGTAGTACATAGAGCCAATCATAAATTTAGTTCAAGGCCAACACTCTGGTATTGGAAGATAAACTTATATGTTAACAATGGGTGCCACAAATACATGAAAATTCAAGATTCCATACAAACCTTTAAATGGGTCATGAAATTCATTAAGTTCACTAAAATAAGAAGTTTTTACTTGCTTAATTTACATTTATTAAAAGCTGAACATCAAGAGAAGATTGAATATGGAGAAAATACATATTTGATATGATTATAAATGCTATGAGTAATGCCATTAAAGGAAGAAACAGAGCTATCAGGAATGTGCATAGGAATGGAACAGTGGTTATGAGTGCTTTAACATCGTTAGAATTATTTAAGAGAAAGAAGTTGCAATAGCAAGTTCGCCAAAATTAGTGAAAAGAATTACAACAATTAGCTGAATACAAAGCTATTTCTGCAGTTGGAATTCTCTTTAACTTCTCTCCCAGCCTCCGGAACCAAGAGGTTGGGGAATATGGGCTTCAGGAACTTGAACTCGCCAGTTCCAGAGTCTCCAGCCAGACATACCTCATACTGGTAGCTCTGGGACAGTGTCCCAGTACCGCTGACGTCCACCAGGTGTCCAGGAAAGTGGCCCTCAGGCATAGAGCAGACACCCAGAGGCGCCGCCCTGCGCCTCCTGCACAGCCTCACAACCACGAACACCAGCACAGAGAAGAGGAAGAGAGATGACACAGAGGCCAAGGCGATGACCAAGTAGACAGTGAGCGAGTCCTCCTGCGCACGCTCTGGCGCCTCTTCCGGGAGCGGCAGGTAGGGCTGGGAGAAGCCATCCACCAGCAGCACGTGCAGCGTGACGCTGGCAGACAGCGGAGGCTCGCCATTGTCATTGACCAGCACCACCAGCCTGTGCCTGGCCGCGTCGCGCTCGCTCAGCAGCCTGGTGGTGCGCACCTCGCCATTGTGCGCCCACACGCCAAACAGCCCTGGCTCCGTTGCCTTGAGCAGCTGGTATGACAGCCAGGCGTTCTGGCCCGAGTCTCCATCCACCGCCACCACCTTGGTGACCAGGTAGCCCTGCTCTGCCGCCCTGGGCACCAGCTCCGTGCAGGGCGCAGAGGCGTTCTGCATTGGGTACAGCACGAAGGGCGAGTTGTCATTTTCGTCCAGCACCACCACGCGCACCAGCGCCTGGCTGCTGAGCGCGGGTGAGCCTTGGTCTGTGGCGCCCACGCGGAACTCGAATGCCTGCAGGGCCTCGAAGTCCAGCGCCCTCAGCGCGAACAGCTGCCCATTGTCTGCGTTGATGGAGACCAGCGAGGCGAGGGGCAGGTGCGGGTCCTGGTTTGGCAGCAGCGAATAGGTGATCTGGGCATTGGTGCCTGAGTCTCTGTCTGTGGCACTGATGCTGCCTATTTTCAGGGCAGGGCTGTTGTTCTCGCGCACCAACAGCCTGTAGGTGGTTTGTGTGAAAGCAGGTGCATTGTCGTTGATGTCAGAGACAAGGATAGTTATGTTGTGTTCAGTTTTCAACCTAGGTGACCCCAAGTCAGTGACTGTGATGGTGATGTTGTACTGGGCTCTGCTCTCTCTGTCCAATGGCCTCTCTGTCACCAAGGAGTAAAAGTTCTTAAATGTGGGCTTCAAGAGGAAGGGGAGATCGTTTTCTATGGAGCAAACCATCCTACCATTGTCCCCAGAGTCTGGATCAGAAACGCTGAAAATAGCAACTATACTCTCCAGGGAGTTTTCTGGGATAGAGCTGCTGAGTGTGGACATGGTTAGTTCAGGAGCATTGTCATTCACATCCACCACTTCTATGGCCACTGTGCACTTCCCTACAAGGCCTCCACCATCTGTGGCTGCAATTTCTATGATATAATGTTGGGTTGCCTCAAAATCCAATGCCCTTTGCAAATGAATTTCTCCTGTTAGTTTGTCTATTACAAATGGTTGAGAAACTTCATCACCTTCGAGTAGAGAGTAGTTTACACGCCCATACGTTCCTACATCTAAATCTCGAGCAGATACAATGAGAACTAACGAGTTTATGGGACTGTTCTCAGGAACCTGTACTTCATACAGGGATTGTAAAAATTCAGGGGCATTATCATTCATATCTACTACTTCAATGTGAACTGTGACAGTCCCAGACCTGGGTGGCATCCCACCATCCAGCGCTGTGAGGATTAAACTGAGCTCAGACTCTTCCTCCCGGTCCAGAGCTTTGTCCAACACCAGCTCTGGGTATTTTCTGCCATCTCCACGATTGTGAGTAGCAACACGAAAATTGGAATTGGGGCTGATTGTGTAGTTCTGAACACTATTGCTACCCATGTCCAAGTCCTGAGCTGATTTCAAAGGAAACACAGTCCCTGGCTGGGCACTCTCTGGGATTCTAAGGAACATTTCCCTGTCTAGGAACTCTGGAGAATGGTCATTTACATCTGTGAGTTGCACATCAATTTGAAACAACTGCATCGGGTTTTTGAGTAACAACTGGAAATGCAAAATGCAGGGTTCTGTAGCCCCACACAGCACCTCTCGGTCTAGCTTTTCCTGTAGAAGCAAATTGCCGGTTTTTACATTGAGCTGCAAGAGCTGTTTGCTGCCTTTGTGATGGATTCTCGCACCCCGAGTTGCCACTTCCCCCACCCTGAGCCCCAGATCTTTTGCCAGGTTGGCCACAGAGTAGCCACTTTCTGTTTCTTCTGGCATGGAATATCTAATTGCCTCAGAATCAACGTCCCACAAAAACAACAGCATAGCAAGAAAAATGACTTGCCTTTTCTGCAGGGATTTTGCTAGAGCAGTCTGCATTGTTCAAATCCGTCCAGAAGGTGCAGTTCCTTCAACTCGGTATACAATCCACTCAGACAATTTGGTTAAATAATCCTGAGTTATATGTTTCTGTCTGACATGCACTTAGAATGGTGCCTTGTCTGAAGATCTGTCTTCTGGAGCTGGCTTAAAATGCCTCCTTCTTTGGGGGAGCTCTCCGAGTTGTGATTCCCAGCTCAATGGCGTCCCTGGCATTTAGAGCCCATTATTCACTTGCTTATCCTGCAGCGCCACCAGGTGTCTTTACTTACTATTGCATATAATATTTGCCATTTCATTCCAAATTCTAAACCTTCTGTGTATCTATACCCTTTTGATCGCAAAAGCACTATCTTCAAGTTATTAGAATTTCTAAATAAACGTTTTCTAATTTAATTTTCAGTAAAAAAAACCCTGTTAAGAATCAAAAAATTGATATATTAGACTTCATGTTCTTCTGAATTTATGAAGAAACCTTTATTGTGGGTTTACGATTTATTGTATTTATAAAATTAATGATAATGTATAATTACAAAATTTCAATTTTACAAAAAATAGTTTGATTTCTAAGTGTAACATTCCATCATAAAAAGTAAAAAAAATCACAAATCATATGTGTACAACTCAGTGTATACTCATTTTTTATTAAAGGTAGAGATTTTTGCTAAATGTCATCTTTCTTCATATGTGTGTACTTTATGCTCATTTAAAGTTATATACAACATTAGAATATGCTTTTATATAATCAAATGCATGGAAAATATTTTTGTATAATTCACTTCTGAGCTGTCCCAGAAAGTCAAAGTTTGAATGTTTTCTCTGATATGTGGAAACTAATGGCAAGATGGCTGGGGTATTGGGAGAATTCCATCAAAATATAGGAAAGATTAATAGAGTAGTCCAAGGGAAAGATGGAGGGACCAAATAGGGGAAATAACAGTAGAATGAATCTAAGCAAGCTTTCATATGTACATACATGAATATATCACAGTGAATCTTAAGTCAATTAATTTTAAAGTGCATACACTAATATAAAAGGATTCTAGATTAAAAATTAAAGCAATACCAAAATGCAAGAATTCTTCTTTCATTGTTTGTTTTTACTTGCCCCCAAAAGGCAAGCACCATCCTGACTTCTATTATCATAGCTATCTCTGCCTTTCTTGAACTTTTAAACAAATGAAGATATAGAGTATTACTATTATGTCAACCTTGTTTCAGTTAATATTCTATTAAATAAAACTGATCTGTGTCATGTTATTCTAATGTTTTTTGTATGCATTGGTTTTGTATGTATATACCATGGTAGTTTATACATTGTGAAGTGGCTGAAAATTGGGGCTTTTCTAGCTTTAAGATTTTTTTTGGTTCTACCACAATACATGTTGAATATGCTCATAAGATTTGGATTTTTGTGCATTAATGCATGCATATATATTTAGATTTTTAAATATTGTAAAATATTTTTCAAAAGTAGTAATAATGCCAGCAAAATTTGGGAGTTCCAGTTTCTTCATATTCTTGTCAACATTTGATGTTGTCTTTTCAGTTTTCACCATTCTACTAAGTGTGTGATAATATCATATTGTGATTTTAATTAGCATTTCCCTGGTGCTTTATGAAACATGCACATTTTCACAAATTTGTTGGCTATTAATTTACATTTTTTATGAAGTGCTTGTTGAAGTCTTTTGTATATTTTTCTAATTGGGACATTTGCCTGTTTCCTTATTAGACTGTCTTCTATATTGTTGAAATATCTTTTTCAGATACATTAATTGCAAATATGTCTTCCCACTATGCTTGCTTTTTTATAATTTTTGAGATCTTAATGGTTACACATAGAAGTTGGGTTCTATGCTTTTATTTAAAATTTATTATGGTGACATTGATCAAGCAGTCTTTAATTTGGTCTGATTTATCAATACATTTCATTATAGTTGGCAGTTTGTGTGTACTAGTTAAATCTTTTGCATACTCCAAAGCATATTATATTCTTATATGTTTTGAAAAACTAATAACTATATTTTACCAGTTGAAAACTATAATCAACTTTAAATTACTTTAAGTGAGTAATGTTAGGATCATTTTTCATGGAAATATCCAAATGACTTTGAACCATGGGGAAGATGATTCCCATTATTTCTGAAATGACATTATTGTCTTAAATCAGGTGACCACACGTTGGCTTAAGTATTTTATTTTTCTCTCTGTTTATCCTACAATACCACATTCTATTGATTACCATAGCCTCATCATTGAATTTTGTATATAAGAGGTAAATCCTCCATTTAAAAATCAATGGACTGTTTTAAAGAGAAGTTTTAGACTAACAGAAAATAAATCAGAAGGCAAAGAGATTTTCCATATATCCCTGTCCCCACACATCCACAACCTTTCCTATTATCAACATCCCCTATTAGAGTTGTACATGTCTTACAATTGCTGTCCCTACATTAACACATCATCATCACTAAGTCTATTGTTTAAATTAAGGTTAATTACTTGTAATGTACATTGTATGAGTTTTGACGAGTGTGTAATGACATGTATTCACCTTCAGAGTATCATACAAGGTAAATTCACTGCCCTAAAAATCACCTAGTCTCCCTCACCTGAACTCACTGTAAACCACAGATATTTTTACTGTTTCCACAGTTTTGCCTTTTCCAAAATGTCATGTAGTCAGAGTAGTACATTATAGAGTCATTTGAGATTGACTATTTCATTTAGAAATAGTCATTTGAGATTTTTCTCCATGACTTTTAATGGTTTGATGGATATTTACTTATTTCTTTTGGTGTTGAATGATAATATTCAATGTCTGGCTGTACCACAGTTCACTTATCCATTTGATTATTGTTGGACATCTTGATTTTGACAGCTATGAATATAGCTACTATAAACATCACCTTGCAAGTTTTTGTGTGGTTCTAAATTTTCACCTCTTTTGAATATATACTAAGGAGCAAGACCGCTGCATCAAATAGTAAGAGTATATTGAGCTTTGTAAAAAGATGCCAAACTGTCTTCCAAAGCCAGTTGTACCATTTCTCATTCCCATCTGCAGTGAATGATAATTCTTTTTGCTCCAATCTTCCTCAGCTTTTCGTTTTGTCAGTGAGCTAGAGTTTGTACATTCTAATGGTTTTGCAGTGGTATCCCAATGTTATTTTAATTTGCATTTCCCTGATGACATATGATATACAGCATGTTTTCACATGCTTATTTGCCATCTATCTATTTTCTTTGGTAAATTTGTTTGTTACTTTGTCCAGTTTTAAATGAGAATGTTGGTTTTCTTATGTTGAGTTTTAATGACATGTATCCATATATTTTGGATAATAGTCCTTAGTAATATGCCTTTTTCAAATATTTTTCTAATATGTGACCTGTCTTTTCATTTCATTTGTAGACTCTTTGGCAGAGCAGAAAATTTTAATTGTACTGAAGTCCAACTTATTTCTTCTATGGACCATGCCTTTGGTGTGATATCTCTAGTTTTATTCTTTTTCTTCTAGATTGCTTTAATTTTAATGTACTGTTGTATTTCTATACAAACTTTATATTCAGTGTGTTAGTTTTCAAAAAGAAATTAAGTAAAATTTTGTTGAGGATTTTATTATATCTATAGATTGATTGGAGAAGAACTAACATTCTCATCATTCCTATTATTGAGTCTTTCAATTAGTGAACATTGTATATTCCTCATTTTAGTTGGATTATCTCATAATGTTTTGTGGTTTTCAGTGTAAGATTATTATGAATATTCTATTAGATTTCTTTCCAGGTATTTGATAAAACTATTGTAATGTATATTTCAACTTTTAGTTTTTGTTATTGTTGGTGTATATAAAGGCAATTCAGATTTGTATACTGACCTTGTATCCTGTGACATTGCTAACTTTATTTAATAATTGCTAATAAATTGTAGATTCTTCATGCTTTTATGAAATAATTATCTTTTTTTAAAAAGAGGATTTCTTCCCTTCCAATTGTTGTTCCTTTTGTTCCTTTTTTGTCTTATTCCACTGATTAGGGCCAATAGTAAATCTTACTGAATTGAAGTAGTAAGGTTGGGAATCCTATTCTCATTCTTGATCTCCAGAGGAAAGTTTCCAATAATTTATCACTAATGATGTGCACTATAGGTTTTAAAAGAAACTTTGATAGTTCCCTTCCATTTTCATTTGCTAACAATTTTACCATTAATCTGTTCTGAATTATATCAAATGACATTTGATTTACCCACTGAGATGATCATTTTATTTTCTCTTTTATCTGTAAATAACAGATCAAATTTCAAATATTAAGCTGCATTGCATTCCATTTTCTCTTAATTTATTGTTTTCCTCTTATATATCTCTGAAGTTTATTTGCTTAATATTTAAAATAAAATTCTATATACGTTTATAAAAGAAATTGGTTTGTTATTTTTCTTTCTTATCTGTCAAATTCAGGTTTGGGTGTCATAACTACTCAAATTTTGCTGGAGCTTAAATGATTTCAGAAATGTCTTTAATTTCTCTTTTCTAAGTTTTTATAAATTGGTATTAATTTTTACATAATTATTTGAAAGAACCTATCACTCTGAGGTGAAAAGTTTTAATACAATATTTATTTAATAGATCTGACTAATCAGATTTTCTATTTCTTCTTGCTTCATTTATGGAAAACTGGGTTTTTAAAGGATATTTTATATGAGTTGTCAAATTTATTGGCATGAAGTTATTCATAATAGAATCTTTCAATTTTTTAAAAAGATATCTGTAGGATTGGTAATTATTTTTCTTTTTCATTTCTAATATTGTCAGTTGGTGTTTTCTCTTTTATCTTTCTTCATCTAAAAGTTTTTAATTTTATTAAAAATTACAAAGAAACCCACTTACGGGTTTGCAGATTTTTCACTGTTGAATATTTGCCATTTTCTTTTATACATGTTTGCTTGGGTGTGTTCTATGTATACCTCCATTCTCTGTTCACATTTGATTTGCTGTTGTTTTTCTAGCTTCTTCATATGAGAGCTTGTATTGATTTTTGTAGTCTTGCTTTTCTAATGTGTGCATTTAAGGTTTTAAATTCCCAAGTTCTGTTGTGATATGTCAGTTCATTTTTTAAAATTTCACATATCACTTCTTCATTGCAAAATTATTTTTATTGGTTCCTTTTAGACATACATAACAGTACAATCCATTTTGACATTATTATACAAGTGTGGAATATATCTTGTTCTAATTCAGACCCCAGTACCTCTCCTTCCCATTCCCTCTGCCCACCCCTGCTGCCTACCCTATAATGATCTTTCTGCCATTTACCCATAGTTTTTTTAAAATTAATTATTGTGGATGTACCCAATGGTGAGATTCATTGTGGTATATTTATATATGTACATAGGAATGT